ATTTTTTCAATACAGAACCTCAAAATGAGTAATTTTTACCGGTTATTCTGAGAGTATTTTGTTTGGATTTTAAAATTCCGTATGTAACCTCTTTGGATAATATTGCGCGGAAAAAATCAATTTGCTGATTTAACAATTCAATTGCCAAAAAAAAGGGACTGCAATATTTCAATGTAGATTTCACGACACAAAAATGCTACTGTATCCACCCCCGTGGTTAAATTAGCTTTTAATAGTGGTGAAAGTAGTATTTGTGTGTTGTGAAATCTACGTTGAAATATTGCAGTCGCTTTTTTTTAGCAATTGAATTATAAATCAGCAATTTAATTTTTTTCGTGTGGTTTTTTTTTGTATTTTTTTCTATCAATGAGTAGAAACGCATTGAGAAAATTTGAAAAAAGGTGCAGGATTGAATAAGCAACGCCAAAAAATAATTAATAAAAATAATAGTCTTCAAAATTCAAAAAACAAGTCACTTGAGCTCTACAAAGTCAATATTAACTACTTAAAACTAGACTTATATAGTTGTTAATTTAACTAATTACTGTTAGAAATTATACTGCTTAGTGTAACAATTTTATGATTTAAGTAGACGCTGGGTATTGCTACAATTTAACTAAGGTAACAGTAAGGGCCTTTTTTACATAATGATTACATGTATTGCTTTCAAAGGCCCTAACACTACTTATTATTGCTTTTCGAATACGGTGGCCTTCACAATGGCCCGCACGTTTCTTTGCTCAGGAAGATTTTGCTCTATTTTAAAACAAATTACAGCTATTTACAAATCAGTGGCGTGGCGTGCTTTGCGATATATCGATTGCTATGCCATTTAAACCTATAGAAAAGGATCGATAAACAGGGTGTTTAAAGCGAACACCTTGATAATCGATTCTCTACCATACGTTTGAATGGCAAAACAATCGACACATCGCAATTCACGCCACGCCACTGTTACAAATTATAACTTTTCCGTGGAAAAACTGAATTAATGGACTTAAATTTAAAAGGAAAATATACGAAATTATGACTTTATTAATTGAACGTTTGAGAGTCAATGATAAACACATTAAAGCCAAGTAAAAATAGTGTTTTATCTTGCTTTCGTTTACAGTTGGAACATTGTAACACATCCAAATAATATTCACTGGACAAAATTTAAAATTAAGGTTTTAAATAAAATTAAAGTGAATAGTTGACACTGCAGGGAGATTTGAATTGGAGTACGACATCAAGTTGAAAATTGCTTTTGATAGAGCTATCCGAAATATTGCTTTGACAGTAACATTTGCATGACACCATGTTAGAACTTGAACATTGCTTTTGCTTTTGCATTGCTTATCGGTTCAAAAGTAAGATCACATATTACATAGAGTGGATAAAACAAAATGACTAATAAAAATAAGTAATTCCATAATACAAAATATATAATTTATGAAATACTCCCAAGCAAAGAGCGCACAGACTCGCTTGCTCAGATGCCAAATAACTCATTAATTCGATAAATCAAAAACTAATATTGAAAAAAAAAAATTAACAAATATAGTTGACTTTGAAGTAGAAATAAAACTTCTAAAAACTCTTTGATATCAAATTTACAAAATCCGAACTAATAATCGTTGCCTTGTCATGCATGCAAAACAATTACTGTAATCATTAAACCACTTAATTGCTAATTGGAAAAGTAGTGCTTTATTTTACCGCGATAAAATGTTCGTACACTTCAATTACTTTGTATATTCGATCATATAATGTACATGTACCTTGGATTAAATTATGTTTGCATTTTTTAAAATCAAGGAAACTCGAATATTGCTAGCACAGCGTGTTAACGTCCTCAGTAATTCAGGAGCTAAGTGACAATCGAAAAGCAACATAATCGGGGAATTAATTAGACAGCGTATGAGGAGAAAATATTTCCGGAGTTATGGGTCAATACAGTTTTGGAATTGTTAACATTTTAATTTTTGTTGCACATGCAATTTTAAATTCTAGTCCTTTTTGCGAGCCAAATAAGTGATGGATTATTACATAAATGTTAATAAATGAAGAATATGAGTACGAAAAAGGTAAAAATTTGGCATTTCGAGGCGTATGGAAATGAACGATCTAGTCCGTGCTTGCGTGTACGAAATGTGCGGTTATTAATGACATTCTATTATGGCAGCTCATTCACTAATAGTTCTTTATAACTACAATCCTTGCTACTAAATCGGTGGATAACAATACAGTATTAAACAGTATAAATATGTTTAATGCTCGCATAATTACATTTTTAGATATTCTATGAAAATATACAAATGATCCAATAACTTAACAAATTTCTGTACAGTCCTATTTTTTATTTAATTGTACTCAGCCGCATATTAAAAAGTATTTCAATACCTCATTAATATTCGATATAAAATATAAATATAAAATGGGCGTTTTTGACTAGAATTACACTCTCATCTTCATGTTTGACGATTCGAATGAATCTTCTTGAAAAATAAAAACCTAAGAAAAGCCTAAAGTTCAAAACATTAACTCTAAAATAAAATAAATACAGGATGCTTATGGAACCTTTAATTTTTTTACACAAAAAAATGCATGAGTGATACTGGCATTAAAGAACATGTACGTGCTAATCTTTTTAACTAAGAAAGAAGAAAATTGTCAACAAGCCCTCGCTACTAACATGATACACAACGCCAATAGTTTAATTCACTCTAGAAGTGTGGGCATCCAAAAAGTTCAAGGTAAGCAAAAAGGCACAGATGAAGCAAAGGCTTGGAAAGTGAAGCTTATAAATACGAAGAGATAGCGTAGAGCACACCAAGGAGGGTTGCCATAGAAGAAGGGACAACGAGGAGTACACCAAGAAGGGTTGCCATAGAAGAAGAGACAACGAAGATAGACGTGGATACAGTGAGATTACAAGGACGCGCGAAGAAAAGGGGGCAATAGTAGCATGTGCTGATTCGTGAAGAAAATAATGTGTGCGAATCACCGCACAACTCCAATAAATATAATATGAGTGTAAATTTTAAAGAAAAAAACCATGTGAATTTAAAGTATAAAAAGGATAAGAAAATCCAATGAAAATTCAACTCGATGCATGTTTGACTTGAAAACATTTTCTGAAAAGAAATGAAAAGAACTGCTGCCACAAAAAGTGTGGTATTGTGCATGGTTGCTTCAGTAAGTAAATAAACTTTTAAGGCACACATGGGTTATTTTAAATTACGAAGAAAAAGCAAAAGGTTGAGGAGCAAAATGATTTTCAAGCATTTAAAATACCGATCAAGCTTTTAACCGATTTGGTGGACAACTAACCACCTACGTACGCACAACTTTGAATGCTTAAAGCATGAGCTTCAACATTGTCATGAGATTTGAATTAGATGGACTTATAAACGCGAAGCGAGGGTGCTACAGAGATAGATATGGAATAAGAGAAAAAAAGTTTACCAACTGATTTGCGAATGAAGAAACGAAAATGGAAATGGAAATTTAGCAGAGATCAATTAATGTTAGAGTAATTAAGGAAGAGGGACACAACATTGGATGAAGAGAGCACAGAAGACATGGAAGCTTTAATTTGTGAAGAACATGCAAAGGAGAGAACGACTGGAGAGAAGATTGCAGGAGTTGCATCTAATGGACTTAACGGGTGAAAAATGCATAATAAGTACAGATTTATGAGGGAAAAGGCACAAATAGAACGCGATAGAATAGTGATTACAGTAGAATATAGTCTTTGGCTAACGCCAAAGCTTATAGAGTTGCGGTGTAGAGTAGTTGAAGACGAAGAGTGCTAACTTTATTTAAAAGCCAATAGGAAAACCATTGCGCGAAAAAGAAGAAAGACGAGATAGAGAGAGAGAGAATGAAAAGAGGAGCCACAGCAAATGAAAAGCATAAAGAAGTTAGAGAGAGAGAGAACAAAAGAGCTACAGCGAATGAAGAGCATTAAGAAGTCAGAGAGAGAAGAGAAGAGCCAAAGCGAATGAAGAGCATTAAGGAGTCAGAGAGAGAAGAGAAGAACCACACCGAATGAAGAGCATTAAGAAGTCGAAGAAACAAGAGAGAAGAGACGCAAAAAGGCGAGAAGCAAGATACAAAAGCAAGAAGAATATGAGTGAAAATTGAAAGATGAGCAGCTAAAAGTCAATGCGGAGCGTGTTGTTCATTTCAAATGTGACCAATGAATATTTATTTCTATTTAGTTCTGGAACACTGAATTAGTTTTAGAATTTAGTCCTGAAACACACTTAGTTGCGTGGGCAAATTAACCGGGAGATACCTAAATTTCGTTCCAATTTTTTTGAAACCTTCGAAGAACAAATATATTTTTTACGGATACATTTTCCATTTAAAAAAAAATACCAAAAGAAGCCCTGCCTGTAATTGGTGTCAATATATTCAGGATTTCTAAATTTTGAGGCCGATGAAGGCGGGGTATGAACAAGTGGTTTCGAGTTCAAAAATTTAATCATTTGACTTTGTTCTGGTTGATGAAGATGACCTGTCAATTGAAAATGTAATTTATCTCATACGCAAGTTGTGAATTTCTTTAATGCCAGTAGCATTCTTAAATTATGAATAACTGCAAGTATATGAGCAAGCAACTGTAATGACAATGATATAATTTGATAAATGAGTGAATGTATAAGTCATATAAATAAGCAAAATGGTTGACTTGTTTCAAATATAAATGAATTAAATGTTCCTAAAAGGTAAAGTAATGTATAAAAATTATCGCTTATTAATGTTCGTAAATGAGTATCAGATATGAGATGCAACGGAAAACGCCAACATAATAAAATTATACTCAGTCGGTTGAGGAAAAATGATAAATTAATTGCCATACTTGATACAATATAACTGTACAAATTATTAACATTATTTATTGCACAAACTTCCCTAGCTTGAATGACAAAAATAAAAGAAAAAAAACATGAAAATACTTAAAGTATGAAATATTACGCGTACTTTCAATTCAATTTTAAATGAAATGGAGCGTTCATCGTAGAATTTCAAGCGATACCTAACTAAACTTGTTGAAAGGTCAGTTTTGCCCTAATTTTTACAACGATTTCAACAATTCAGCACATTGGAATGATTTACAAACTGGAATGTGTTTGAAGTATGTTTCAACTAATACTACTTTGTTTAAAAATACGATAAATAAATAAATACTAGAAACGCAATACTGACTTTGCTAAATTATACGTTTTCGATTCTTGTTTCTGGAAACGGTAGCTTGATTTGAGGACACTCTAAAGAAAAAAAATTAAACTAAAATGAACGAGTAAAAATTGCAATCGTTGCAATAATGCTGACAAGAATTTGACTAGAGTAATTAGGGAAACGAAAGGGAAAAATTTCGCACATTAGAGCTTAGAGAATTAACAGATCGGAACTATCTGATTTTAAAAGTCAAGAAAACATTTTTAGAAAAATTGGTTACTCATAATTGAAATTAAATATGGAAATTGTTTGTGGTGCTCCTGGCACTTGGTTGCATCATTTCTCGGGAAGGTAATACTGCCAGTGGAAATTCCACATGGGTAGCATTCTTTTTTGAACGTGATCAATTGAAAAATTAGGGACTTTCTTCGATGCCATTTATAAGACAAAAAGAAAAACTATCTACAGAAATATGAATGAAGTTGACGGATTATTAAATTATCAACCAGTAACGTAACCTTTATTAAGCGCTATGAGCGGAATTGTAACGTTCAAATTAACGAATTTCAAAGGTGATATGAAATTTTTTGAGCCTATCTTTGAAAATTGTTCAAAGTAGTAAAAATATGCCCTCAGTTTGGAGGGAATACCTAAGTAATAATTTTATGACATAATCCGTTCTTTCCCGTTTTCTCCAATTTTTCAGGAGGAATTCGTGACTTTTTTCCCTTCACAATATTGACTGAGGGTCTGACTACAATTGACTGTAAATGGTCAGCTTTATTTTTTAAAGAAGGTTGGTACTAATTAAGGTTTTTGTTGATTTTTCATTTCATTGGCTTTTTTATTGGACGGAGAGAAACTCTTAACTGTAGCTAAAGTGTAAATATATAATAGAGTACGACTTGACAGAATGATTTCATTACAAATACCAAAAATAAATATTTCAGCTGAAAACCGGAACATCAAACCCCTCTTTTCAAGTAGGTCATTAAGTAAATTTAAAAAAGGATCAAATGATTTTGACTCATAAGCTTTTGATATCCATCCGGTATTTGAGACGAAACAATTTTACCATGATGATATCAATCAGATTAATTAGTGCAAGCAGAACTTGAAAGGCAGAGAAAATCTTGATTTTTTTTTTATTTTTGCTTTTCTCCAATTTTGTAGTATAGATCAACCTTTAGATTGCTAGCAAATGCCCGTAGTCGAAAAAATTATGTTAGAGTCCAAAGCTAAGCAAATCATAAAATAAATTATATGAAAAGTTTAGATCTTCATTGTGAAACTTAAAAAAAGGTGTTTGAGAAACGAATGTTTCAGCTGAAATCTTTTACGTTTACTTTACTAAAAATATGTGAGTACCTATTTGAAAAAGATGAGAAAAATGTATGTAATCTTTTGAATTGTAATACTTTTTATGCACCGGGAAATCGTAGACGTACCAAAAGCTTAAAAACTACTGTACAGAATGTATTGACCAAATTATAATTTTAAGCAAATACATGTAAGTATGTAACCGCTGCAACAAAAATATTAATAAATAAATAAAAAAAACCTTGATTACCTACCATTAAGTTAGCCAAAACAAATATTTTTCGCTCGTGAATAATGACATTTTCAAAATGTTTGGCCATTTGACTCAAAGTTTCAATGCTACTTCAAAAATATTGGACTAGCGATTTATTTTACTTTCACCTCTGACTAGACTTGGACGGTAAAGAAGACAATCACTAATTTATTGAAAAAAAGTTAATTTGGTGTAGAAAATGTTCCATGAATCGGTCCAGATTAGTTTTAATAATGGTAAAAGTAACCATAATTTTTGTATTCAATCGTTGAAAAATAAGTAAACACAGATTTCGCCATGTTCAAAATTGTCTTGGTTATTAGCAACGGAATGTACGGAGACTGAGACCAAGCATTGGAATTGAAGAAAAAAAAGAACAAACATAAGAAATTGAGAATCTCAAAACATTAATTTCTGGAGGAAAATATCTTCTTGCGATTATTGACTAGAAATGATAATCGGTGTGAATCAATGGTATTCCATTGAAAACATAATCCCGTCTCTTCTTTCAGATAATACTATCACTGTTGGAAGAACTTAAATCGAAGGCCTCAGTTTTTCCGTCTCGGCATTTTTCGATCTACGAAACTGGAGGGGGACATGTCGAGGAAACCACCGATCCTCACGAAAATCTAAAGATCAAAAAGTCTGAAAATACACGAATAAAAATGTTTCAACATTAAACATCCTTTGAGCACGTGACTAGAATTAAATCCAAAAGAGGACAAGAAAATCGGAACAGATCTCAAAGAAAACATCCATTCGAATTACGAGACTATGGGCGAATAATACTGGGAATTGTGGTCACTCAGAGGCATAATTGGCTTGGCCTCTTCCGACGACTCGACAAGGCATGCTGACTCTAAATGTTTGTTCAAATACGACTTGAGTGCGAACGTCTTATGACACCGGGAGCAAGCGAAGTTCTTATCCGTGGAGTGGGTTTGCATGTGCGCCCTCAAGTTTGACCTATCAGCGAAGGCCTTCCCACAGTGTGCGCAGCCGTAGGGTTTCTCACCCGTGTGCGACCTGAGGTGACCCTGGAGTAGCCACGGCCTTGAGAACATCTTCCCGCAGACCCCGCAAGCGTGCGTCAACTTATGCGTCAGCAGGTGCATCGCCAACGCAGGCATGCTGACGTAAGCCTTCCCGCAGGTCATGCACTTCTTGGCCGACTGGGAATCCAAACTCCTGTGGGTTTGCTTGTGCCTGGAGAGGTTCGAGGAGGTCGCGTACTGCTTCCCGCACTCGGAGCAAGTGTACCTCGGTTTTTGGTCGGGGATGTCCGGGCTCACAGGTTTGTTTTTCGAGCGGCCGTCGCTCACGAAGAAGGCTTCGTAGGTGTAGGCTACGGTTTTACCCGCGGGCGGTTTGGCCGCGGGTGCGGGTGGCGAGGCGCTTAGGTCGAGGATAGCGTGGGCGGCGGAGAGGTCCTCTTCGGCGGGGCGCCAGGAGGGTCGGTCGTCCAAGGAGTAGGGTCGGTAGATGTCCTTCTTCTTCGGCGGGAGGGAGAGGGCGGCGCCGGTGCTCGTGAAGCACATCGCCAGGGATTTCGTCCGCGCTGATATAGGTGGTTGAGCGGGCGGCGGGGAGGTAGGGGCGGCGGTTGCGGTTGTGGCTATGACTGTTGCTGCCGTTGCGGTCACGCTGGCCGTTTGCAGGGTCACATAGCTCGGAGGCGGCGAGCAGGGCTCCCGCGGCAGGAATGCACTGTAGTGGGACAGGTCTTGAACGTACCCTGGAACAGGAGAAGGAGACAAATTTTTATTAGAAAATGTTCAGGATCAAGTCGAAAATAGAGACAATATATTTTAGGTACGCCATCCTACGAACTTAAGTAATGCAATCAGGTACACTAGGAAAAAAAAACACATTGGATCTAGAGTCCAGACTCTTGAAAACATTGACAGGAAAATGGGCTCTTGATTCAATCAGATTTAAGCTTAAATCAAAAGGAAATCCGCTCAAATTAAGAGGCTTGGTTCTTGATTTAAGCTTAAATCTGATTGAATCTAGAGTATTTTTTCTTGTCGATGTTTTCAAATGTCTGGACTCTAGATCCAATGTGTTTTTTCCAGTGTTAAAATCAATCTCGGTGATCGTCAATGCTTACTTTTACCAAATGATGACTGATGAGCAACGTGTTGCGCAAAAAAATCGAAAGAAATTCGCCCGACGATGATTGATAAAATGTCGTCGTGAGCGCTTTACAATGCGCATTTTTGCAGATTGGGTTACTACAATTCTTCGTTTCCCGGACAAACGAAAGTAGCTACAAAATTGACTCAAACAACTCAAGTCTTTAATATTATCAATCTGTGCAATTTTCGTCCTAAATGGTTCTGATTTTTGAATGGAATCAAAGGAAAATGCGGTGGCATTATCACATACGCGTGAACAAGATTTGTTGATTAAAACGAAATGTTTGAAGGAAAATTAGGCAACATTGAAATGTATTTACGTTCTATTGTGAGAAAAACAACTAATTGCGAAACCGATTGATTCACTCTTCCATTATGAGTCATCTGTAGACAAATCTGTTCGTTGACTTCCGAGAGTAACTTCGCTCAGTGCATTGTTAATTCAAACGCCGAGCTTAATTTGAGAAGCATTTCATGTTCATATTGCGTTATAAATCTGTGCGACAAGAACTTCCATATAGTTGATGAAAAAAAGAAAAAAAAAAAGACGCCACGCTCAAGAAAGACACTAATTGCACCCGTGCCCTATCGCGAAAACCGTGAGCGGATCTTAGATTTCGCCCGCAAAATCGAGCGTATGCAAACCCGGCTTACCGCGGAGTTAATTTAGTTGCATGTTGGGTTCGAACCCAACTTGGGTTTTTCTTCCGTCGTTTTACGCTCCGCGCACAATTAAGGCACTTCAATTGTCAACGATAGCTCAATACTACTGTAATAAGGAAGAACGCCACATGAACTTACATGCGTCGCCAAATTTACTTTGACAAAGCACGAATTTTCGGAGAAGTTTGCATGTATTTATCCTCAAATTTTTCAGAGAATTTCGTGCGTAATTCGAATTTAGTCAGATTTAAAAAGTCTGAAAATTTCGAGGAGGAACATTCAAAAATTTCCTCAACAATAAACACTCTCGAAGAAGAAATTCAGCAACATTCAAATTCTCTTACGGCGTTTTTCCTTAGAACAGCGGAACAGTTTTTCCTAGAGTCCCTTTAAACTGAGAGTCAAGACAATGTGAATCCATTTCTGATTGATTCCCGTATTTTAGGCCTTCACAGTGTCACAAACGGGAATTAAGATTACATTTTCACCGATTGCAAAGATTATAATCTGGAATGCACCAGGGAATTACGGATTCGGCAAGGAACAAACGGAATGAGCGAGGGAATTGAGAAAGGAATTTGAGAATGGGCCGATCAAATATTACAAAAAACGTTCAATATCTGTAATCTTTATTCCCGTTTGTGACTCCATGAGGGGGTGTTGTCTTGACTCTCCGTAAAAAGGGACTCTAGTTTTTCCGCTCTAGTTTGCTCATCGTTTAGACACGTTATCGGGGGAAAGATAAACCCCGTAGAGGCATCGATACCCCTAAACTGGGGACCGAGGGGAGGAGCAGAACAATAGCACGCGCGGGAGGGAGCAAGGATCACGGGGGCGGAATTTGTATCGCGGGCGCCGCGAGAATGTGGAAAAGTAGCTCAAGGAGATCTTAAGTTTAGTATAAAGCATTTTTGAGATTCTATAAATTGAGCGAAAGCCGCTGAAATTTCAACCCGGTGATTTCGCTTAGCCTGCTCACAGCCACTTGACGTAGGCAAAGTGTCGGCNGGGGGGGGGGGGGGGGGGGCTCGTGAAAGGAGACGAACACTCGACGGCCCCGTTCGAGCAGTTCCGCGTGCCGTCATGGCGCTCCCGCGGGCAGATGAGTGGTTTTTGACGGGGGCGGGAGTCGAGCTCAACTATTTCGAAGTGCCACTGCATCGAATTCGGTGCTTATCTTGCTCGTGCAAACTGCACAGCGCTCTTCTCTCGACTGTCTTTTCGCCCCGTTCCGTGCTCCGTGTCGCCATTATCCCTTCTCTCTTAATACGTCGCCTCCTCCTCCTCCCCTTCTGCTGCGCTAATACTTTTGTCCACAATTTATTGCAGGGCGCTCTCGTCAAGTGACGGCCTCTCCGACGAAACCGCGTATCCCTATGCTGCCATGCTACGGCAGAACGACGTACAGTGGCGTTTTCGATCCAGCTTTTTCCGTTCTTTCGTTTTGCGAGAAATGAAAATGTGCCAACTCCCTAAAAGGTCTACGTAGCTAGGACAGAGAACTGTGGCGGCTGGGTGTCGCAAAACATCAGAGAGCGCTGTGAAAGAGGCTCTCATACATCTAAATCCGGAAACCTCCGAATGCTCATACGTCGTCAGTGGCGTGGCGTGAATTGCGATTCATCGATTGTTATGCCATTTGCTCGCAGCGAACACCTTAATAATCGATTCTTTACCATAGGTTTAAATAGTAGAACAATCGATACATCGCAATTCACGCCGCGCCACTGACGACGTATGCGCATTCGGACATTTGCGGATTTAGATGTATGAGCAGCTTTGAACACCGTCATTCTTGTGTATACCCGTTACGAAGGGTTAAACCTTCTTCCCTTCTAAAACGTTACATGTATAAATTAAAGCAATATTAGGCATCAAACTGAAAAGAAATAAATAAATAAAAAAGAATCGAATCCAACTTTTTGTCTGGCGGCGCAATCTTGTCGATCGGCAAAACATTATCTACGGATTTCAGTATTTCTCTGTAAATTGAGGAGTTAGGTGCAAAAGAGGCGTCATTGACAAAATCGCGTTTTGAGTTATTCGTGTTCAAAGTTTGTTGTTGTACAAATGAAATGTATGTTTAAAGATATGGAAATAATGTGGTAAGTTTAAATATAGATCATTTTATCAAGTTTAAGTTTGTACAATTAGAAGCTCTGAATAATCGCGGGTTTTTTTCTTAAAATATGGAGGTTAGGTTCGTTCATTGTTAGCCAACCTAACAATAATAAAATTACTGTATTTCAGTGAATGTTTGACGTAATAACATGAAAATTGGTACACCTACATTTTAGGATATGAGGATTCAGAAAAACCGGTCTCTGCAAAAGGGGCGTCATGGACTTAACGCCCCTTTTGCACCTAACTCCTCAATTTGAAAACCATCTCGTGTGACGAGACGCATATTCACGCACGAGAAAAAAGGGGAAAAATCGAGCCTGAAAAGGCAGAGAAAACCCCGGATCTGATCGGCGTGAAGAATTAACTTTCCGAACTGGCGGAGCCAGCTGGTACTCCACGCACCCAGTAATTCTAGACCGAGGCGAAGTTTCGGAGGGGAACGACGCGGCGGCGGGCGGAAGGTAACAAAATGTTTGAGCTGGTGAAAATGACCCACTAAATCATTTACTGTAAGAAGCCGTGTTACATGCTCGCGTGACACGTGTTGGCTGCCCAGAATGGAGAGGGGAGGGGGTGGTGGGGGGATTAAAAAGCTGCCAAGCCACTTTGAGCGCGCGCACCCTCGCAAGCGGAAAAAATGTAAATCACAGGTTTCGTTTCCGAACATCGAATTTTAGGGCTATTTATAATTTCGGTCGTAGGTGTATTCCGCCGTGCTCTGGAAAAACGCCGTATGAGCCTTTAGACGTTGCCAAATTTCCTTCCGTGAATCGCCACTTTTCGGGAAAGTTTGTAAAGATTTTTCCTCCAATTTTTCCGATAATTTTGTTCTCCATTTCACCTAGAGTTCCTGAAAATTTCAAGGAAAAATATTCGTAACTTTCTTCAAAAATGGCTGTTTTCTGAGAGGAAATTTGGCAACTCTCGAATGTTCATACGGCGTTTTTCCTTAGCGCGGCAGTATTCAACATGGATGAAAACGAATCTTGGAGGCTATCAAATTCCTGATTACAAATGGATGACACGGGTTTTTTTTTTCAGAAAATCCGTGACGCCAAATTTCGAATTTTCCACCCCGTTTCCCTCGGCTCTCAGAGTAACGCTTTTTTGACGCAGGTCCCTGTCCTTTAACGCGTAAAATTAAATTTTGAATTTTGGGGCTATTTATAATTTCGGTCGTAGGTGTATTCAACATGGACGAAAACGAACATTAAAGGCTATCAAATTCCTGATTACAAATGGATGACACGGGGTTTTTTTCAGAAAATCCGTTACGCCAAATTTCGAATTTTCCACCCCGTTTCCCTCGGCTCTCAGAATAACGCTTTTTTGACGCAGGCCTCTATCCTTTAACGCGTAAAATTACATTTCGTAACGCTCTCCTCGATGCCCTCCCCCTCTCTCCCAGCGCGTTGCGTATTTTTTGAATGCTTGCGAACCAGAATCATCCCGGCTGCATTTCGCACTGCATATAATTTTCTCAATATGATTTTTTTATTTTCGACATAGACAAAAAGAAATGTCGGAGATTACTAAATGCCTGATTAATCACGGAAAGGTCTAACCGAAATTAGCCAAACTGTATCTTACGTTACCTAATGTTTTTTTCATGTTTCATTTTTTTTTAAGAAGGAAAACTAGACAACATGATGCTTTGAAGCTTTCTCTTTGAATCCTTTTCAGATTTTGAAGATCAAGCGTAGAAAATCAAATCAGAATCTTGCTTTGTTTTCTCTTAGAAATTGAGATATGAGAAGAAATTAGCCACTTTGTGGAAATTAGGATGATTCTCATTAAATTCGTGAGCACG